TTTTTTTTTTTTTTTTTTTTTTTTTTTCAAAACCACCTAGTCAGCTCTCACACGCTATAGTCTCTTGCCCCACACTCGCGATCGAGCCATTGCGTCCTGTCCATATTACACTAGCTGTCGTTTCCGGTGAACGTTCGGTTTTCCCCGCAAAGTCCCTCGCTCGCGTTGCATCAGTCGCCATCAGTGAACGAAGGAAGGAGAGGGGGGAAAAAAAAAAAAAAAAAAAAAACCACTCTACACGTCTCCCATTCAACCTCCTGATTTTCCATTCAGTCGTACATTACCCGAGCACTTGCGCTTTCCTTCCCAGCCCCGACAGCCCGTATAAATAAACGCATATCAATTGTCCCGCTCCGCTCGATCGATCGTGAAGCCAAGACAGAGATATAGAACGCGATGTCGCAAAAGTGCGTGCATATCGCACATGTATACGCAGTGGGAAAATATCAGAGGCGGGCAGGGGGGGAGGCAGCGTATAAAGGATGTGTTTGGCAAGCCGGTGCCGTGTAGACCAGTTAGCCGGTGCTGTTGCGGAACGCGGATCATTTGCGCCGGGATATTAATGCCGCGGTGCCCCGATTTGCAATCGCGAACTGGAGATGTATTGGATGGAGAAAAAAAAAAAAAAAAAAAAAACAATATGCTGCAAGTCGCATGGAAAATATGCCGACCTTGGGGCTGCAAATCGTAGTCTATATAAGCCGGTGGAAAGTTGTATTATCACTGATAGCGCGCATTGGAGGGAAGAAAAAAAAAAAGGAATGATTGTGTTCGGGTGTATACTTATTTTGTATTTTGATTTCGTTTTAACGCAGTTATAAAACATGTTTAGAACTGCGGTCGTAGTTAAAAATATACTCGCACGCTATTGCACATATTACATCCCTGAGACTTGTAAATATTGTTGCTTGTCTCGTTTTTAGCATCAAATGAAAATAAAAATAGAAGATTTTTTGTTAATTTAATTACGTAGGTAATACCAAACGATAAACTATGGTAAAGTAAAAACAAAGCACCCGCAGTCTCGGCGCGTTAATTTTCATTTAGCCAATTTTACAGTTCCGCAAACGCGTGTAAACGCCCCCGTTTCGCGCTCAAAGTTTTTTACGATGTTACACGCGTCGCGTTGGTATAACGAGCCATCGAAACTTTTATGCGAGCGCTTCAACGAGCTAAAAATATACTACCAGGGGTCGTAAGAGGATTTCACCAAAAAAAAAAATTCATCCCTTACGATTTTTTTTTTTTTTTTTTACTCGTCCGTACAATGTTGGTGTTTCTCCGGGGATGGTTCATGTACGTGTTCGAGTTTGTAATTTTCGTTGGCAGTATCGTGTAGTTTCAACGTTTAACGAAAACACTGGCCGTCGTATCCCACGAGAGTTCAGAAACCACTTGCCGGAGCTCATGAATATTCACTCGCGAAAACTAAAGACGTAATAATTAAAACTAGTTGTGGGTGTATACGCGACGGGAATTTCTGTGTATATACAGTTGTGATCGAGATGTCGAACGATCAGTGATTACCTTTCGCGAAACGCCGTACCCTCGTTTCTTCCTGTTTTAATTCGTTTGCGACTTCCTTGGCAAGTTTGCCACTTCGTTTTGCCATTCAATTTTTTCGTTGGATTCCTTACGGAGTAGCTTTTACACATGTGGTCGTAATGAGAAACTCACTTGATTTGACCCTCTAGTGCAATTTTTTAATAAAATAATTCAAGCTGTGTACGTGACGTACTTTATAAAACGACATCAATAAAAAAAAAATCAAAAGCCATTAGACCAACCGGATTTTTCGTCCTTTTTTATGACGCAAATACGTAGATAACTTTTGTCCTAGACGTATACGTACTACTTTTTGTCGCAATTAGTTTTATTTGATAGTAATTGGTCGAGTGTTATTACATTTGGCTACGTGATGTTTAAAAAAATAAATAAATAAATCAACAGCAGAAAACGTACGCGAGTATTTTCAAAGCTTCTTCCCGCACTTAAGAAAAAAAAAAAAAAAAGGTCCCTATTCAATGAATTTCGTCACTTAGCTCTTGTATGACCAGCAAAAACAAATCCGCTCCGACCTGCAAGTTCGGCAATCTCGTCCCATAAAGAAGATTACGTAAATTGGCCTCCGAAAGTGCAAGCGAACAAAAGTGAATCAGGCACAGGTGACGAGAGAAGCACGATCTCAGATAACAGTTACCTACACAACTACAAGCCAACGTAACAACATAATACGTACATGCCGAAAGTTTCAAGTCTCAAGTGTGAGAGAAGAGAGGAAGAAGAAATTCTTCTTCGGGGAGTCACGACTATAGGTGTGTGTATATACATATACATGTGCTTAATAGCATAAAAGAAACGCTGGGAATCCTCGGAGCGATCGAGCGGGTATACTATGGGTAAGTACCACCACCGAACGGTCGTTATGTAAACAGGTCATTTTACACGTGTACGAGTATACTATATAGGTACCTCTTCTCAAATCTCTTCGCTCTATCGCCTTTACTACACGTGCGTGTACTTGTGTCATGTATGTCTATATACACCTTTTGCACCTTTAAATCTACCGTCTTACGGTAGTCATGTCGTAATACAAGGCTCATCCTCGTGTCCTTTTCTCTTTCTCTTACATATACACTGCCAGAATATACATATATATATATATATATATTAGTGTCTTTAAATTGCAATATTGCTCGTTTTTTTTACTTAATTTTCAAATACCATAGAGATACGACATCCGCTGGTCCAAACAGATGAAGCCACTTCTAGTTGGCTACAATTTGTACTGCACAAGATTTACATTCATCACGTTATAAACTCTCGCTGTGGCCACGTGTCAATAAAGTTAAAACCAATGAGTATTTGTCGACGACTTTTCACCTAAACCTTATTGATATTTTTATTTTTGTCTGACTATTTTCTTTCTCGTACTATGGCAATCTCGAGCGAAAATCGTATGTTTTTTCACGTATGAAACAATTTTTTTCAATAAACCTTGGACTTTTCATTTTGTTAAAAAGGTTTATATTTTTTCCCTTCATAAAAGCTACCAACGTGGATAATAAATCTCACTCCAATAGTTGAGCTCGCTAAGCTCATCAATGCGGATAAAAAAAAAAGGTCAAGTCGCAGAACGCAGCTGTGTACGACCAAGAAGTACTAAAAAAAAAGCTGTAAAGGGATATAGATATCATATACACACGCATCTGTAATAATATAGCGTCAAGTAGGATTTGCAGGTGGTATGTGTAGAACAAGCGCAAATACACGCGAAGAGAAAGAGCAGAGGAAGAGACGGCCAGAGAGAAAAAAGCTCGGATCCTTATGCGAGAGACTTTTCGTTTGCACGGGGATAAATTTTTTTTTTCACAACTACGCTATACACGCGGACCATGCCAGNTTTTTTTTTTTTTTTTTTGTTTTTCCTCCCCACCAGCAAGATTGAGAAGAAAAAAAAAAGGGGGGGGGGTTTATTGTTCACTTGGGGGAGAGAGCAACGAAGGTTCAATTAATTAGATGGCACTTGTCGAAAGAGACCGCGTTGAGCAAGAAAATTACCAAACGATCGGCACCGGCTCATTTACGAGGATCAACTTCTAGGTAGCAGCGCGTCCGGTTGACCAATTAACGCTCGCGAAAACAAAAAAAGGAAAAAAGAAATTTCGCGACACCCCCCCCCCCCACACACACGTAGGTGTACGCGGGATGGTCGAATTTGACGCGTTGTCTGTCGAAACGGTCGCCAGGCGCATAGCGATCGTTTCAGGGTCTCCGCATGCACCACTGCCACGTGCGTGGAACAGGAAAATTGACTCTTGAGAGAGAGAGAGGGGGGAATTGCAGAGTGGCTGGCAATCTAATGGCCGAGCAATCAGAGATTGCGCGCTGGCTGCTGCCAACCGGGTTTTGCAACCACTGACTTCTCAGTAAACTCCCGTAATGAGGCTTATTTTCCCATTCGACTGACTTTGATGAAAAATATACGTATACACAGGCACACATACACATGTTTACGCTTATATTTTCTTTCTTTTTTTACTTTGTTTTATTATATGTATGAATGTGTATATATGTGTGTGTGTGTGTGTGTGTGTGTGTGTGTGTATGTATGTATATATTTTATGGTTTACGTGGATCTGTCGAGGTGCACCCTTGCCTGTCTTTGTTCGATCTGCAATGGATCTCGACGATTAGATAGCGCGTGTGCCACGTGCATGGGAAAATGTACAATGAAATGCACGTTTTATTTTTTTTTTTTATTTTTGCATACTGCGAATTCAACGAGTCAGTTTTAAAAGCGTTCAGGTGTGTGTACGAGGATATAGGTATGAATCGGAGCGTGTGAAATCGAAACAAAAGTCAACTTAGCAAAAATAATACACATGTTTATTCATCGTTCGTATACAACTAAGCTTGATTGCTTGCGTGGTAATAACAAGGGATAATACCGATTTGTTTTTTTTTTCATCCGAGGATATTTGTACACCTTCCGTGGGACCTTGTCATTTGGCCCATGTCCCTCGGCTCCTATCTCGACTCGAACGAGATGCGGACGAAGGAGAAGGGGTGGAGAAGGAAAAAGGGGGTTAACAAAAATCCAAAGCTTTTGTACAGACAACAGTGTCCTCATCGGCGCGCACATAGTATGTAAAATTTTCTTCCGTTACATAATATGTATGTATATATTATTATTATCATTATATCATGTATTTGTATTTTGTATATACAAAGAATATATATATACTAGTATGGGGGGTGGAAGAGCGCGACGTGCGCGTATGATGATTACTTGGGGGGGGGGGCGCAAAATAGGCACGTGTTTGTCCCTTCCTGTCTCGGGGGTGTCTCAGTGGAAGCCGTGGAGAAGGTGGCCGTGGTCGTAGTGTCCGTAGTCGTGGTGGTGCTTTTCGTGGATGAGCACTGGATACGGTTCTTTCACTACTTCTTTGTGAACTACGGGATACGGGCGATCGACGTGGACCACGTGCTGATCAATCAGATTTTCGTGATTTTAGTTATTTCAATTCAATTACGGGATAATTTTGGATTACAAATGTTTGAAATGGTCACAAAAAATGGGCTACAAGTTGCCTTTTAATCGAAATATACATCAAGTTTTTAGCAACGATGTTTCTCAATTTGCAAATAAGCTACATTTTCGTAGACTCTTATTTGTGGGTCTAGTAGGTTTAAATCCTCTTTTGGCTAATCTAATTTTCATTGTATTTTTCTTAATCTCCAAGTTAATGGATTACAATCAATAAAATTAATTACCTTTTCAGGTACGTACACAGGATACTTTTCGATGACTGGAACCTGAAATCACAGATTGATCGGTATTTAACACACGAGGTGATGTTTCGTCAAATTTTAATGGTTAAATCAACGCTGCAAACGAAAAATGCAAACTAGAAATGAGTATTACCGATGGAGCTTGAATAAAAAATAAAAAAATGTATTCGAGTAGCTAAAATTTGTTACTTTCGTTTGGAACGTCGAACCCCATTTCGTAAAATTTTCAAACTTACCTTCACTGGTACATGCACGGGTACAGCCTGTAATTCAAATTTTATTATTAATAATACATATAATTAATTATTGTTATTATTTATCAGTTGCAATAGTTACCACTGGCTTCTCAACCGGGAAATGCACCACCTTAAATCAAATTACGTTTGTTTGAATTATTGAAACTATTAAAATGGCTATTGGGGTGCGTTAAACGACGGCACACTACCACTATTGTCCGGTAATTTTTGGATTTGGACTCAAACTCATTTTACTTTTCAAAATTAAATTTGGGTACGATATTTTTGAACAATAGGCAGTACTGATATTGTCATTTGGCACACCAAATATAAAAAACAAAAAAAATGGAATTTTACCTTCTCCACGGGGTAAGGCACGGGGTGAGGCACGTGGACTGGTCTAGGTACATCGTAAGGCACCTAATTCATATGTACGAATTAAAAATAAAATTATGGCAAAAAAACAAAAGTAAAGAGTAAATAAGCTCGTGAGGATGGAAAGTTGGAACAATGTATTATTAAAATAATAAATATCGTTAATGAGGAATTGTTAATTGATACAGAAAGGATTTTGTGGACGTACAAGTGGTTGGACCAATGGATGATGGACAAAATGAAGGGAAACAATATATTTTACATGATGGGATATGGGATACAGAAGACAACTTGCAAACTGTTTTTAAAAAAAATAAAAACTACAAGTAATTAGATGCAACGTCAAACTGTCGTTCAATCGCAAACATAAAGAAGAGCTTGAATGATGCAGGAAGCAAAAATAATGCATTTGACTTACAATAGTAAGTGAAACAAGACTCGTAGAATATGGGAAAAGAGTTTCGTGGGGAAAATTAAAAAAAAAAAAACAGTTATTTATAAAGGACGATTGTAAAATACCTATGAATTGGCTTGATAAAATTAATGATATGTTTTGAGTAGATGGTAAATTGGACGAGTATATTTTTTTATTTACTGAAAAATACTCTAAAATATATTGCAATCTATCTGGATCCACTTTAAGGACTTTGTAAAAGACTGCCAACGTGGATTTAGGTACGATCGATTAAAGGTCAAATATTGACCACCAAACTAGTACAATGACAATGGAAATACAATTGACACTTATACGCACAAAATGATGAATAAACATTTGTAGAAAGGAACAAGGGTGCATTGGGTTAACGGAACATTACCAAAGTACGATAGCCAGAGTCAACGATTCAGATGTTGTACAGGCCTAGGGAATCATTGTTATGGGGGACACAAAAGTCCTCAAGTGGAACACAAGAAATGAGTAGGTTGGACGGTAACGGGAATGCAAAAGTAAAAATGAAAAAAAAAAAAAAATGAAGGATACAGAAGGACGAGGAGGAAAAGAAGACGAGCGGCTGCACAAAATTCAAGCGTGGAATGATCGGTTGTACCTTGACGTGCACCGGTACCGGGACGTGTTTCACGTGCTCGACCTGAATCAAGTAAAACATTTATTCATTTATCCATCCTTTGTATCGATTGATCTTAAGATCGGGAGTAGCGATTCGGCAAAAACCTTACCGAGTAGGGTACGGGCACCTTGACCTCCTTGGTGATGGTGACGTGGGAGATGTGCCCGTGGTCGTAGTGGCCCCCGAAGTCGTGGAAGTCGTGCCCCAAGCCGAGATCGAAGAGGCCGCGCTTGCTCTTGCCGGCCGGCTCCTGTTTGTCCTCCTTGGCCGCCACCACCTCGGCCCTCTTGGACTCCTCCGGCCGGGCCGACACCGCGGCGATCGCTACTGCCAACAGGACTACTGCGCTCTGCAACGTACAGTTGGCCCAACATTGGTACACCCTATACTTTGTGGGGAAGCGGGTTTTGGGGGGGCGCGTGACGCAATGTACGGTGCGACGAAAAATATCATCAAAGTGCCCGCGTCGAATAGTACCTGTCTAATAATGCACGAGTGGCCCACTGGAGGCTCCCACAAATGAATGAAAAAAAAAGAAGAAAAAAAAAAAAAAAAAAAAGACGGGAATCTTGTGCACGTACGTACGAGTAATAGTTACGGCATCGTGTATGTATATTAGAGAGACAGTAATTACGGTGTGGAGAAGTAGCGGCGCAACACGGGCAGAAAGAGAAAGTCAAGTGGGTAATTTTTTTTCCCCCTCGCAAGATCGCGATGGTCACGGCTCGCGAGTGCAGGAATGCAAGTGTCGTGTTCCAGTAATTGAATAGGCCGCTGCGTGCGCGTGTGTGTCTTTTCTTATTTTTTTTTTTTTTTTTCGGNGCTTTGTTTTGCTTTGCCATATTTAAATCGCGTTACGGTGTTAGTATATTTTATGTAAGGCAAAGCGGAGAGGGAGGTTGCGCAACTAAGCTGTGACATTTTCCAAAATCTCGACTCAATGTTTTTTTATCTTTTTTTTTTTTTTTTTTTTTTTTATTTTTTTTTATTTTCTTATTACCTGTGGTCTAGTTAGTCTAATGTATACATCGATAGATCGGCGCGTCGAGATATTGCTGAACTGTACAGGATTCGGTATTAGCTAATACGTTAGTGTGCATTTTTTTCTCTCTATCTATTTGGTCTTGTTTTAAAATGCATTTAGCAGAACTATGAATGCAAATAATCGGCTATCGATGCCATTTACGGATACGAGAATGTGTTTGCTCGGTGCGATTAAATTGTTTCTGGTGTGATTTTTAGATAACCAAACAATAGGGGGGTGGGGGTGAGGGTACAAGCTCCATCGTTGCTGTAGCGAGTGAATTGAGATTTCCAGCTGATTAAGCACGGGAATATGTATATATATTTTTTTTTTCAAAACACCGATATTTTATCTATTGTTTTGCAAAATTACGTGATACGTGAACATAATAACCAACCCTCGATCGAATCGACGAACCACCAAAAACTATAGTTTACTTGAAAAAAAAAAAAATTAATACGCGTACACCCCTCCGAGCCGATGACACGACGATACCAACCACAGTATAGAAAACCTAGTGCACGTACAGCAGGAAACCTCTTGACGTTTATCTCACCGGTAAACAAACAAATGAATGTACAAATGTATGTGTGGGGAAAAAAAAAAAAGAAAAGAAAAGAAAAGATTGGCCAAAAACAGCAACAGTAACCACAAAATAATATACAGCAACAACAGTAACGTGCAAACGAGCGGATGAATAAAATGATTTTCGGATCGCGGACGGAGATAAAGTAGCGCGGTTGTACAGGCAGACGGGTAGAAAAAGGAAAAAAAAAAAAAAAAAAAAAAAGACACGTAGGTGTATGGTATGTAACGCAAAGGAGGTACGGGTACAAGTGTAACTCCCGAGGAGTCTGTCTCTCTCACCTGGACTCGCATGGCGAAAACGTTACGAATCCACTGGCCCGACCTCGCGACCATCACCCGCCTATATACCTGCACTTTCGCTCGTCTATACCTATACGAGCGCACTTGTACCCACTCTCCTCTCTCTCTTTCTCTATCGCCAACTCCTGCTCCGACGCACACACACTAGTCGTATGCAGTGGCACTGCAGGCTCCTTCGAGACGTACACACACACACACCAACACACGTACAACCCCGTGCAGCTCGGCTCCCCCCGTACCTCGTGTTATATATATACATATACATATTGTCTACCACCTCTTTCCCACGCGGGCACGGGGCACACGTCTCTCACACTGGGGCGCGAGCTCTCGCTTACGACACGTAAAGTGCCGCGAGAACAACTACTCCCCTCCCTTCACCCTCTCTACATACCCTACGGTTGCTCCAACAAACGGCGTGCACGGGTGAGGTATGGTTGCGAGGATGGGTGCGACCGTCGTGATTTACTTCATTTTGGGACGATGATGATACGATATGTCAATTTATGGGTTGTATGATGGACCATCGGGGGTGTCGAACCCACGTGGGAGATGCTCCCTTTTTTTTATCAATCGAGTCGCACTCGCGCGACACGTGTAAAAAGGGAACCTCCGGTAAGACAGTAGATGCGGACCAGTATTGGTCAGACCGCCTTTTTTTTGCCCCTTCGCACGTATACAAGTACGACCGTTTAGTTGCAACGGAAACGGAGAGAGAGAGAGCAGCTTGATAATACATCGCCAACTCTCCCCTGCTCGGAAACTAGGCCGTGTGTGTTTTTATTGCGAGGAAAAACATTTTTCGCTCCGCTAGTTAATTATATTGTTTTCCGATTGCGCAACGAATATTATACCGAGGCTTTCACTTTAATTGGGTGGATAATCTATTTTTTTTTTTTTACAAAAAACCTTTTCGTCTTACGGCACATTACAAAAATGGTCAAGCGCTTAAAGGGCTTGTGTATTCGTAGCAAAGAAAAAGGGGCAGGTAGCTTTTGATCAAGTTTATAAACCATTCGATCGACGCGAAAGAATCATTCCCATGATGGGGAGCGCATCGATAATTCATAAAACAAATACACCCCACAATACGTGCATTTCCCTCGGTTCGCAACAATGTCTTGCGGGTGTTTTATAGCCCCGCCGTCTCTTTTACCCGTACATGTATATATTTACCTACGTGTGCACAGTCCCATTGTATAATGAGCGCTTTCCTCGGCTCCGCCGTCAACGGAGCTCGAAAAACTTCTCTCTGTGTTATTAATCGCTAAGTGTGCACATAACTTACGGACGTGACGATGTGGAACACGCATTATCCGTCGTATAGCTTCTCCTTGCTCTCGGGCAGTGCGCCCTATTTGTGCAATTTTTTTGAAAAATGAACCCCATTGGGTGTACGTATTGATTGTTAAAAACGCAAGGATCCTTCGGGAGATAAAGTCGCAGGATGTGCATCGAAAAAGGTCATTGGCAGGAGAGTACCTCGTAGATAAGGAAAGAGAGGGAAGGAGGCGTGAAAAATCTCGCCATTGCGGGTGTGAAAGAAAGAGTTTCATGATTTTCCCCGCGTATATCTCGCGGTGTAATCGAGGTCACTGCCATCGCTGACATAATGGAACGCGAAGGAAAAAGAAGCTGCGATGGCGAAACAACAATCACAATCGCCGTGTCCTCCTCCGTCGCATCTTGCGTCGGCTCTATGGCATTGTTCGGTTTTCATTTTTCCCCGTTGCAAAAGCGTGTAATTATCATCGCCAGTCCCGCGCCAACTTCCTTCTTTGCGAAGAAAATGAAAAAAAGGAGGAGAAATCAATTTTTTGTTTCCCCGCCCAAGCGCAACTGTAAATCACGGGAGAGCGACACTGGCACGAGGAAACAAAGTTTTGCGCGTGGAACGTGTGTATTCTTTCCCGGGTAACGACGCAACGCGACTCGGTTAGTGGAGCAGAAAGTGAAAGAGGGACTTTACTCTCTCAACGGGTGTTGTCTTGCATACGCCGCACACTTCCCTCGTTGTCTATGATGTATGGATACATATCACAACGTACGCAATGGAATCAACCTGTTTTTTCCTCTCGCAACTACGCGCATGGGAGATGGTAAAGAGGATCATCCCGGGGAGGGTTACAAAAGCGCGGGTCTCGCAATTTCGGCCAGAAATCGACCCTGACCCGGAACGGCTCTCTGCATTTGACGAATTCCAAAAGCTGGACTCGGTCTCCATGTAGCGGCGTCACTCGCCAAAAACGAGTCCCGTCGTGTGTGGCAGTGTGTCAACCAGAAGTGGGTACTTACGCCAAGTAGGGAGACCCTCGTTAAAGACGAGAGCGGAGAGTCGCGCGAAACCTATGCGTGTTTCCTCCTCCTTTTTTTTTTTTTTTTTTTTTTTTTTTTGCGAAATCTTTGCGTTCGTGCGTTTCCTATCGCGCCGAGGGATCGTTTTCGTCTTGGGATATACCCCGGGCTACCTCGCGCCGCGCTTATTGTCTCGGCGAATATTTCCCGCGTGCCATTTTCATTGTCTCTCGGGGAGAAAAACTCTTTGGCCCGGTTTTTCGGAAAGACACGGGCGTGTCTCTCTCTCTCTCACTGTCGCGGAGGCTTTGTTTTGCTTTGCCATATTTAAATCGCGTTACGGTGTTAGTATATTTTATGTAAGGCAAAGCGGAGAGGGAGGTTGCGCAACTAAGCTGTGACATTTTCCAAAATCTCGACTCAATGTTTTTTTATCTTTTTTTTTTTTTTTTTGATTCCACCGAGAAACTCGGGCGAAAGTTTTTATGCAACTTTAGTACACTCGTTGGAAAAAAAAAAAAAAAATCATCAATCCACGTACGCGTACAATATCGCTTTCGCGGGTGATACATAATCTTTTTTTTTTTCTGCGCAGAGTTCGGCTTACATAGCGCGATTTTAACGAGTTATTATATGCTCTGGAGTAAATTATAATACGCGCGCGCATATATAATATCAATTTCCAAGGATCTAATTTCGCGAGTGTTACGGCGTGTATGTATGCGCGTGACACGCAAACTTCCTCCAGTGGCATTTCTTACCGTTTTTTTTTTTTTTTTCCCTTCTGAGAGAGAAAAAAGCCAAACAGGGAAGTCGGATCGGAAGAACAACGGTGGATTTGCATAAGGCGCCCGTAAATTTTACCCCCTTCCCCCGGGAAGCGATGAGTGAAAAGCCAGCCGCAACGGGTGTGTTTACATTGTACGCGGCTTATCCCAGCGGCTTTCGACGCGCACAATGCGAGAGCTGTATCGGCTTTCGGTGGCTGGTAATCGCGCCTACACCATATTAAATTCTAACGCTCGTTGGTGCAGCTTTGCGCCCATATACACAATGTATAATTCATCGTTTCGGCGTTGAAAAGGGAGGAAAAAAAAAAAACAAATTCATCCATCCGAATGCCGAGTTGATCCTGTAATGCGGCTCGGTTACATCAATGAGTCAATTGGATGCAAATAGGCCGACAGGTGCATCGAGCGGGTACATTGCGAAATCGAGGAAGTCGACGACGAGGCAGTTACGCGACGTTTTTCGTTTTATATATTACCCGGCTATATCCTGTCGAAAGCTCCGCACGCACTTCCTCCCCCTTCTGAGCTTTTTTTCTTTTTCAACAACAATCAGTGCACACATGATGATGGATAAAAACTCACGGAGGACGTAACGCTTTACAACGCCTGTGCTGCTCAAATTACAATCCGCCGTGCGGCTGACAAAAAACTAGAATCATCGCTCCCCCCCCCCTTTGGCTATACCGGTATAGGTGCATTAGAAAGTTTCGAGCTCGCGAGCGCTAAATCACTCGCCGGGAGAGAGAGAGAGACGCTCTCGCGATCAAAACAAAACCGAACGAATTGCAGCCAAAGTGAATACGTGCACGTACAAGTACGGGTGTGTGTGTGTGTGTGTGTGACGAGCACAAGGGGGAGAAAGAGAAGAAACGCGCCCGGCATCTCACACGTCTCGGGCCCCAATTAGCCAATAGCTCCTGTGTGCTCTACTCTCCTCCTCTTATGCAATACTTTTCCAATCTCTCTCTCTCTCCCCCAGTTTTTGCAGTGCGTCTATTTTCACCCACAGCGTGCGTGTACTGTCAAGGGAGCTCTCTCGAGAGTGCCATCGTTGTTTCGTCTCTTCGACCAGTGCCATTCTGACGGCATTTTTTTTTCCAACTTTTTGATTGACCCACCTCCATCGACAGACCAATAATTCAACGATCGAAGAAACTACACGTGACGTGGATAGGCAGTGTGCAAAACCTCCTTTTTTTTCTCTCCACTCGATCCCTGCCGCGTATAGGCAAATGAGATCAGGCGATCGAGCGCGCTGGAGCATTATCATCAAGGTTTCCCGCGGTTGCGAAAAAATATACATTATTCAGCTTCAGAACGAGAGAAACAACAATTACACCCAACACACGCGATACATCGGTTAATTTTTTGCCTACGACTCGCGGTACAGAGAGAGAGCAACAGTCGTGTGAGTTGGTCGTTGTTTCTGTTTCTCCATAGAAGAAGGAAGCTTTGCTCGGTAGTGAGTGTGCATATGAGTGCCTGTATGTACTTAAGCCCTTTGGCTAAACCAGTCACGCGTGGCTGATTTTGCGACTAGAATTGAAATATTCCGTGTGCATATGGGTACGGGGATGCGTTGAAAAAAAAATCTGGCGACCCCCCCCCCTTTTTTTTTACACGCAGGTATGGATCCGAAATTGAATCCTTCGGGCAGCCAGAAGTTTCGTTCTCGTGGGCCCGGAGCTCCCGAAGCCAGCCGAGTGGGTGGAGCAATCGCACTTTGTCTCAGCTGCGGGTGCTAATTACCAGCCCGATTGTCCTGGGAGAAAAAGCCTCGCCTCGAAGGGGGGGCTAATTGAGTGCTGGCAATTCTTTTCTCCCCGCTGCTACAGCTGGGGGGTGGGTACTCGTTGACGATCGAAATTCCTTGGGAAGGACGAGGGGCGAGGCAAAGGAGAGATAGAGAGTCGGATGTATCTTATTTTTTTGTATATTTATGGATTTTGCAAGGAAAGCCGAAGACACTGTTCACCGTTGGTCGCGCGGCTTCACGACCGAGTGCGTCCACGTTTGCTTATTTTCCTTCCTTTCTTTCCTTCTGGCCTTCAAAATCAGAGTTGCGCGATACTTAACTATAAGATGCTCGATCGGACTTTTCTTTTTCTTTTTTTAATCGGCAAAGTACATGTCGATGACGAGGTGGCTCGATGGCGAGGTTTTCCATAGATTGTGAAATTGTTGGGTGTAAAAGAGCGAAGGAAATGGCAGTGATTTGTCCGGCGCAGGTTGCTCGCTATTGCAACGATTGTATATCAAGGTTGGTGAGGATATTGAAATGTACGATTATTGAGCCTCGCCGATAACTGATTCAACAGACTGATTGCTCAGATTAGTTTTTTTCTTTTTTTCAATTTCTCAATGTTAAATCCGTATGTGCTTCACTTGCAACTTTGTACGTTCCGTAATTCAATAAGGTTAATACATTCAGCTAAATATTTTCCCATTTATTTTTAAGTTTGGAAATTTGAATTGAATTGAATTGAATTGAATTTATTTTTAAAGAGCTAAGAGCAGAGCGCTCTTCGTAGCTCAGCTCATTACATATAATTTGATACAATTGTAAGGTTAATTGCTAATTAACACTGGAATTGTGTGATGATAAACTAGTTTTTTTTCAGTCAATGATAATCATTTAGAAAGAAAATGAACGCGCCACAGTTTTTTCCTAATTTATTAAAAATTTCTCGAGTCGCGAAAATACTATAGCTCAAAAAAAAAACAAATTATTACGTGGGTTTGAAAAAACAAAAATGGCCCAGCAAACTCCAAGTATTTTCTAATCAGCCAAATACTCGCGCCCCCGAATCGTCCCAGTGCACCGAACCCCGTGTGATTAATTAATCCAACTACGCGCGATCCAAAGTTTATACGCGTACACGCTCGCCAGAGCGTGCATCAATTAAAACTTGGATTTATCAACGCGGCACCGACGCGTCGTTTCGCTGCACACGAAAGTCAAGCCGAACGAGGGCCTTTGACGCGACGGCCGAGTCGTTACAACTTTCGGGGGATGCAACGGGTAAAACGTGGAAACTGCGAGTGTTTCCGGGTGGGCCCCGTGTGTGTGCACCCGCGCTCCCGATCCTTATTACGTACACGTGGCGAGAAATTGCTCTGCCGGTGACGGTTGCGAATAAGGTAATTATCGCGGTTGCCTCGATTTTGCCCGCCGAGCGCGTCTAACGATTCGGGAGGAACCACCGCACCAGGGAATTTCTCCATTATTTTTTTTTTTTTTTTTTTTTTTCCCCGTTCCAAAATGATGTGGATCACACTCGGTTTCAAAACACACGCGGTGACGTTTTCTCGGCACGTTTATCCTCCGTGGAACGAAGAGGCGCCCAAAGTGAGAAAAAAAAAATGGACAAAAGATCGACAAGGACGTGGCCAGAGAGACAAAGGCACCGGTGCACGGATTGCGCATCCTCTCGACACTCCGAGGCGTATAGAGAGAGAGAGGGCCCGGGTATGGGAGAGTCCCCGTGGCAAAGTTCTTTCTGTGTGTGCACGGGCAAGACTAGAGCGAGAGCGAGAGTGCCGAGGTGAGCGTGAGCCGTGTACTACGTGAGAGCCGCTGCGAACGGGCTCTGGTTATAAAAGCCGAGGGTAGGCCTCGGTGAAAAGTCAGTGTGTGCTCACTGCCAACCAGCATGGACGGCACAGGCAAACTGAAAGTGAGTAGGTGGTTTCTTTTCCTTTTTTTTTCCTTCATCATCGATTCATTCTATAGCCCAGCCCAAAGAGTCCCCCGAGTGAGAGTACAGAGTGGACTGTGCTGTGCACTCACGCACATTTTACACTCGGTTGTTTTTTTTTCTCTCTTACTGGGGATGGTAGAGGGGGATGATAGTGTTGGCCGAAAAAAAATTTTTTAGCCTAACAAGTAACTATTTTTTTCTTATTCCCTATTGGATCGAGTCAATCGGTGTGGTAACCCTTTGGTAGATGTAACTCGACTCGTGGGCTCGTTTGGAAAAAAAAAAAAAAAAAAAAAAAAAAAAAAACCATCTAAGGGAGCGATTTTGATGTATCCACAGGTTCTCCTGATCTTGGGATTGCTGACGCTCGCGCGAGCGGAGGCGGAGGAGAAGAAGCAGGAGGCCGAGCCCGCGACGGCCGAGTCGGCTCCAGTTGAGAAAAAATCGGAGGAAAAGTCGAAGCGCGGCCTGGAATTCAGCCTCGGCGATCACCTGGGCTTCGGCGAACTGGGCGGCTTCCACGACTTTGGCCACGTTCCCCTTTACCATCACGATCACCACCACGTCAAGACCGTCACGTTTACCAAACACGTTCCGGCGCCCTACCCCGTCTACCACGAGAAACACGTTGGAGTTCCAGTCAAGGTATACACTTTTCTTTTCTTTTTCTTTTTTTTTTTTTTTTCATCGCAGCTATTTCATGGGTTTTTGTACTTTTACTTTTTTTTTTTTTTTTATTGGAATAATCAATTAAAATTCTTTGCTATTTGTTTCGGATAAATTATTGATTTACCATGGTTATCGCAGTCGAAGTAATTTTTTGTTTTCTCTGCTCGGTGGGGGAAAAAAACCACCCTTGTGGGCTAAGGTGTAGCAGCAAAATTGTTTATAAAGCAAAACAAAAAACTTCACGGTAAAAAAAATGCCTTTCACACGCAAATTATAAAATTTCAAATCAAATATTTGTTTTGTACAGCCTTTTCTTTGGCATCGATTGACAGTTATATTTAAAAAAGTAATCTGAAAGAGCAAGCTATTAACATTTTTCGATCTTGCGGATGGATTTAATATATAGATACATTTATCCCACCTTTAACTGGTTGTTTAATTAAAAAATTGAGATTATGAGTGAAAACTTGATAGGCATTACTAATAAAATTATAAATTTTGTGTAGGTACCGATCAAAGTGCCGGTCGATAGGCCATATCCAGTACCAGTGAGTAGATGACTAATAATTATAACAAACTATAATCTTTGATTTAAGTAAAGACTCAAAGTGTTACAGCATAGCCCAAGTAATTGATTTATGGCTGTTGAAGCCATTCATCAAGAATATAACAAGTCATGCGCTGTATGGGAAACACCTTTTGCTGTCGATTTAATTAGAAAAACTTATGCTTGACAAAAAAATATTTTGACGATGAAGGACGGAAATCAAATTTGAAAAATAGAACAAATTTGCAATACAAAGAATATTTTTGTCAATACGTAAATTTTCGAATTTATGTAAAAAAAAAAAAAAAAAAAATTAACGTCAGTTGTTTACTTACTTCATTCGTACGAATATAATGAACTTCTTAAAATTTTTTTCAATACTTTTTTGTTACCCTCTTTAAATAAATTGGAATTTTCCAATTTCATCACTTTGAAAAAATCATTTCCATTCAAAAGTTGAACCAATAAAATTCCGTTTACCAAAGTGCAAATTACAACATAAATTTGTTTTGCAATTGCAACCAATCGACTCTTTGCTAACATTGGAATCGTGTAAATTACATTGCAAAAAATCAATTTAAATTGAAATGTATTAGGTGCCAGCACCCTACCCTGTCGTTCACGTTAAGCATGTGCCAGTAATCCACGAGAAGCCAGTACCAGTGCCCGTGCACGTCCCGGTCCATGTACGTGTCCTTTCTATGCATTTCTATTATAATGACTGACTGTATTATTTTTCTCTATATCCAAGAGGCTTTTCTCTGACTCTCGAGATGCTGAAATTTTACTCGTTTTGAGGGAAAAGTCTCGTGGAAAAAAAAAAACAACGAAATAGTAACTTCATTTTCGTTAATTTATAGGTCCCGGTAAAGGTCCCATACGAAGTTAAGGTAATAAAATAGAGTTTATCAAATTCCCACGTTTCCATCGATAAAACCGATCGTAATTCAATCGAATGATTTTCAGGTGCCCGTGAAAGAAGTAGTCGAAGTCCCACGGCCGTATCCAGTAAAACAAATCGTTAAGGTACGTTACTTGAAATTTATTACATCGTCAAATCATTTACGTTGGAAATAAAAAATATTGCACCTTTAAAAACTGATTGAAAAAGGAAGTCATAGAGATTGCGATAAAGGAACAATAAAATAACATATGATTTTATGATGTGATTGCAAACAGGAACCATACCCGGTGTACATCAAGCACCACGAGCATCACGGGTACGACCACGGATACGGGCATCACTTTTAAATCAACGCTTCTCTGAAAATTGTACATTTACCCTCAGTTGCAACGATAATCTTTCCTCCAAGAAATGCGACGATCTCACGAATGACGCATTTTTCAACACACACATATATATACATATACGTACGTAAAATTGTCTCGGTTTGTCACCGCTTAAATTGTCGTTTGGAGTGATGACAAGCGCATATACATATAGACCTGCTCCATAGCATTGCGGAAACAAAGACGCTCTTCGACGTCCAAAAAAAAAAAAAAAAAAAAAAAAAATCTAAGTTTAATGTAGATACGAATACACCGTAGTCATGTGTACATACGTACGTGTCGTACGACAAATGTACGATTTTCTTTGCATAAACAGTGTGAATAAAATCTATTTTTTTTTATTTAAACGTGCGTTTATTTTTCAACCAGTCCAATTATTCCACAACAGCACGTTGAAACGTTTGCTGTCAAGAAAATGAGTGCAAATTGAATATTTACAATGCTGCTGCACGGCTCGTACACATAGAGAGCGGTAGAGTATATGGCCTTGAAGTTTACTGCTGCTGGACCGCATTTGCCTGTGTGAAAGGCGCTGGGAAAAAATGTCATTTTCCTGTTGTTTTACATTTTTTTACCATCTCTCCATCAACACTTGCTCGTTTCCTTGGGTATACAGGCATCGCAAGGAAAAGAAAGAAATTAACTTGCAACACGTCGTACTTGGCAAAAACTTTTCTTTTTCTTTTTTTTTACGTACAAAAGTAAAAGCTCTACATCTCGCGTCAATCCGTTATATCCGAGCACAAAAAGTTCGCTTCCGCTGTTCGCGGGTCATGCAGATCGATCGATACCCATTACGTAACTCGCAAAAAGTTTCTCACACGTGTTACAGGGGGGAGGCGAAAATAAGCCACGTGTTACAAGTGAACTGGAATTTTCAGTCTTTCGCCGAAGCTGGCAGTCAACGAGAGAAGGGGAGGGTAATGAGAGAGGAGAGACTCGCGAATAACAATCGAACACTGCGCTTTTGTGGGCTGTACGATTAGTATCGGCCAGAGTAAAACGAGACACGCGATTTGAGTCAATTTTTCAATTTCCTTGTTCGAATTTATTACACGTGAAAAATTGAGCATCCGCGCTTGCTTCAGTTAACAATCGGATCGATTGCTCTTGCCAAAAGCACCTAATTTTTTTTTTTTTTTTTTTTTTTTAATCTTTCATGCTTACGGCTGGGTGGACGCTCGTTATGTCACGATGAAATCATCCGGGGTGGGTTTGTACGCCGAGACTTGATGCGCTCGTAAATTACAAAAGTAACGCTAAAACGTCGGGGTGCCTGTAGATATTTTTATTCGTTGTTTCGGCATATCAGCCATACATATCCGTCTCAAATCAGAGTTTAATTGGAGAGAAAAATGGTACTCAAACTTTGTTTATCGTGTCTTTTATCACCAATAATATATATATAAATATTTTTAAAATCCCTCTTACGTGTACCTGAAATGTCGACATCGATCACTTGGTCTTCGATTCAATGTTTCTTTTCTTTGCCTGTTTTTTTTTTTTTTTTTGTTTTTTTTTTTTGTTTCCGTTTACTTGTTCATCCATTTTCTTTCTCCAACTGTCTTCCAGTATTCTATCCCAATGACTGGATTTTTTTCTGTTTATCAAAGTAATTATACAAGTGTTACTTTCAGTTTCTAATTTTTTTTTTCTTTTACATAGGTATTTGAATTGACGTCTCAGCAAATCTGTTAAACTTTCTTCAACATTAGTGTTTTCTTATAAGTACGTCCCACCTGCTGATTTTATTTTTCTAAATTTTATTTAGAGTTAGACCCAAGTAAGAGAAAAGAAAAGTTTTCAAGACAAGTGTGCCGATGTTCGACACACAAGTTAATATTAGCTTCAAAGCTAACGTTATATGGCTATCCACCCGTAACTGACGTGCCCTCGTGAATAAAAAAAAAAAAAAAAACTGGAATCTTATCTAGTAAGTACTTATACTTGGCTTGAAATATAGAAAAGTTGTAATTACGCCCGACGTGCTACCGTTACTAAACGAGAATTCACGTTTTTACACTTTCAATTTCCTCCTTATTTTTTCCCGTTATTGGTTGAGTAAATGCGTTCGATTCGCAACTGCAAATTATTAATACTGTACGCACACGTAGGAAAATCACACGTATTTTCGTCAAAAAACGAAAAATTTTTAAGGCTCATTACAATATGATTTATCGTTGGCATCGTGATTAATGCGCACGAAGATTCGATTTGGAAATGATGGTCCGTACCGTATAGTAGTAGGAGTGTTTTCCATGCCATCCGAGCGATCGAGCACCTGCAGTATCGTGGGTCCTTACGAAATTCATATTTATTTTTCTGCGCGCGGCGTCGCGATATTTTCCAATTAAACGCAAACACGTGCGTGCGCATGCGATGGAATGATGCATCACACGATTATTCGGGTGATTGTTATTACCATTGGGCAAGAACGGCGTTTCAATGGCAAATAAAATTAACAAGAAGAAAGTGCAAGAATATATACTTGTTTTCGATGTTTCTACATTGGCAGGGAGCAAATATTAATTTATTGATTGACGCGAGTGTTTGCTAATCGATAATGACACGTACGTGTGTGCGTATACCATCGCGTTACTTGATGAAACTTTTTTTTTTTTTTTTTCCTCTTCGTCCCGTATGTTTGTCTACTGTGGTTATTATTGACTCGAGACTGGAATATGTATGTGTTTGCAAATAAAGCAACCCCACCGAGGATTAAATAATGAAAAATATGCGCAGGGATTTCTGGCACAGTAGCTATTATTTGAAAAATACAAAAAGACGAGATGAAGGTAACCCAACACCAAAATCTCTGAATGACATAATTGATCCCACAACTGGCATTTTTTATATTTTGTTTGCAAACATAACCATCATGAATATTTGTCAATTAACCGTATGAAGACACTTGTAAGTATTTTTCCTATAGTCTTAAATTCCTCCCTCCCGTACTTCAAGGATAACATCCCTTACAACAGTTCCGTACTTGTGTTTTTTTTTTTTTTTCAGGAAGACGGAGGGTTTGCCCACCGTACGGGGTAAAAAGTGTCGAGGCATTGCGAAAATCGGCAGAAAAGCATAATCGCCATCGGCCGAGGATAAAAGTACCTCTCTCTCCCTCTTAATCTCACGCTCGCGCGGGTACGTATAAATCGCGGCGGGTCATTCGAGCGTCGCTTGCTTGTACATTGCTTAACTCAATTCTAATGTGAGCGGCGCCGAACAAGCAATACTGTATTTTCCTATACATCCATACACCCATCCATCTTTATGCACGTGTGTGTGTGTGTGTGTGTGCATGTAATCTCCGATCGAGTAGATGGAGATTCGCGATTGCGGGCTTATTAGGCGCTCCCGGCTTGTGCCCATTGTATATAATAGGTATATGTATATATATGTATACACGTGCACTCATCGACGAGGACTTTTGGAGGAGAGTCCTGCACGCTGCTGTACTCCCACGATCGCTTCTGTCCCTCTCTCTCTCCCTCGCGACTTGTCTTTTTTTTTTTTTTTTTTTTTTTTTTTATCATTTCATTCGTAGAAAGGAAGAGAGAGAGAGAGACCGACAGAGACGCGGTTGTGTGGCGTTGGCAAAGGCCCTCGATAGCTATTAGATGTGATCCGCGGTCGAGATTAACCATTGGAACAAACGATTATTTATGGGGCGCCCGCTCATTACGAGACAGGGCGAGAGAGGGAAAGATGGAGTTCTGCGCCGTGAGTGTTACACGTCTGTGTGTAAGAAGCTCGAGTTTTTCCTCCTCTCCCCCCCCCCCGTCGGATGAACCGTGATGTTCCAGAGATTTTTTCTCCGATTTTTCGATACAAGAGTAGGTGCTTGTGCAGTTCATCAAGACCATTTTTCTTCGAAAAATACAAAATCAGCAGTTTGGTACGTTATGCAAATAAAAAATATGCAAACTATACGAAGCAAAATCAATTTTATTTATTATCTGTACTTTAATACAAGACCCGTTTCTTACTCATGTTTTACAATTTCATGGTAAGAACATGGTATACATTAACAAATAAGTATATTGTTCAAGATGTTACATATTGGTAAAGTACATAGAGAAAAATAAAATTTTAGTTCGTTGATTTTTCTTTCTTTTTGTATATTGGTATGTACAATCATTCACTAAAAATTACAATTGTTTACATTAATCCCNGGGTTTTTTTTTTTTTTTTTTTTTTTTTTTTTTTTCAAAAAACAATCGGTCCCTACAATGGTAATTAAATTTGGATTGTATTATTTTTTTTCATGACACCCAAAACAATTGTTTGGATCTGAAAACCCTAAAACATCCTGAAGTTTTTTTAGAGAAAATATACAATATTTATTCATTAACTAATCGCTAAAAACAATTCAAAATATTTACAAATAATAAAAAGAAATTGCGCAGTCCAAATCCGTCGGTGATAATTTGCTTTCTATTCTCCACAGTACACTGGAAAATAGGTTTTGTATTGAGTTTCAATTTTTTTTTTTTCCTTATGTGGTTCAGCATGACTTGTAATGCAATTTTTTTCGTTGCAAAATACCTAAATTAAAATCAATGGTGCAATTTAATGGTGCATATCATGAAATTGATCGACCGTCCGTCGATGTGTTTTGTGCAACTGTGTGTTATTACGCGATTACATGGATTCGTAGTGTGGGGGGGGGGAAAGTTTACAAATCGCACGAAGCAAAAAAAGTAACGTGGCTTAAGATCATAATAAAAGGCCATTCCCAGGCAATGCTTAAGTTTAATTAAGTCATAAAATAATGGTATTATCCAGTACATTGGATTAGTTACGGAAGTAGGCAGGAACAGAGTAATAAGCTCTCATACGAATGAATGAATTTTATTATTAAAAAAAAAAATAAATAAATAAAGCTAATCCAGCCTTTGGAGATCAATTTTTATACAAAGCATTGAACACTTGGATCCATGTATGCTGTAAATTGTTTGAACAATACTTTTATTCAGTTATAAACAATGAAAACTTGATCAACAATATTCTGCTGTTCCAATTTTTACTATTAATACCTAAAGTGTGTG